TGGAGAGGTCTCTGACAGCATACTTTCTCAATGCAATGTCAGCCTCATACAATTGATTATTCTGAGAAGCACCTTCCTCAGAATTTATCATTTTACTTTGTAGGCCTGTTACTAATTTGAGTAAAAAGTGATCTCCCAGGATGGATTCAGTTCTAACTTTGAAGGGCTTCTATGCACATAGGATTAACAGTTCCACGAAACTTTATCAGGCCAGTAAACTGGACCTTTTTTGATTTTGAATTTTGTTCTAAATTTTTCTCCAACTCTGTTCAAGACCTTCTGTGTGTTCCAGATCAGACACAAATTCATTCCAAATAGATATTTATCCCTACTACAAAAAGTGATCTGATAGGACTTAGCACTTGGAATATATAATGAACCTAATTATGAAACACTCTTCTGAATGCAATTTTGGCTTCTCATGTAATTTATCTATGTAGACAGATCATATTAACTGTAAGATTTGACTCTCTAGCTGCAGATCCAATAATAGCTCTCACTAGACATCAATATATTAGCTTTTACCTGTCAATCTTGGAGTTGCTTTGTTATGTGAATCTGTTCCTGTTAATAAATCCACTCTCCCTCTACTGACTAAGACAATTGAGCCTGCAAACCTGAGAGAATAATACGACCTTCTTCATCTTTTGGACCTTTTCCAGATAACTACACCATGGACTTTATTGACTAGAAGTGATTTATATTTATTTGGAATTTGCACATAAGAGGTGTTGGTGGTATTTTTTATTATCACCGGTGCCAATTGCCGAAGTAGATTGGAGCATCCTAGCTTTTTCTCCTCTCCCTGGATCAACTCCATAAGACCAAGAATCCATTATGTGGTGAGCAGGAGACAGCAGTATGGGGAAAAAGACCTCCTCTCTCCTCTGTAAGATCTCACTCTGTCAAACTGTTCTGCTATATGCCAATTTGTAACAGACAAAGCTGAAAAGAACCTTACAGAAAAAAAAATAGCTGATTTTCGTCCATTTCACAGAAGAGGAAATAAGTTACTTTTTCTTGGCCTTATTTGTCTATACTTTCTTGGCAGTGTCTGTCTAAGCCTTGAATATATTGACCTGGTCACAAGTGAGCTTTCAATAACATTCCTGTTCATAGCCAGAGTGTAGTTCATCTGGTATAAAAAGCTAACTGCCAAAGGCACTTTTCTTTCCTATAGTGTTGGTAGGGAACTCTCATGGAATAGTAGCAAGGAGCTGTGTTCCCATTCCAAAGGCTTGTGGTTCACATTTACCAGTTACTCTTGGGGAAAAGATGGGCACTCTCCCCCTGAGTGATTTGCTGCCTTTTAAAACCCACAGGAGGGTGAGCTGTAAGTTCCCACTTCATGGGTTGTTGTTGTTTGTTGTTATGTGCCGTAGAGTTGCTTGTGACTCAAAGCGACCCTATGTACAGCAGCCCTAAACTCTGCTCTGTCCTGTGCCAATCGCACTGTCTCTGACACACCTATCCCGATTAACCCAGTCACTGAATCAGTCCACCTCCTAGAGGGCCTTCCCCTCCTGCGCTGTCCCTCCACCCTCCCAAGCATGATGTCCTTCTCCAAGGACCAGTCTCTCCTTACAACATGTCCAAAGTATGTTAGACAGAGCCTCAGAATCCTTGCCTCCAAAGAGCCACCCGGTTTAGCCCTTTCTAGGATGAATCTGTTTGTTTTCCTAGCAGTCCATGGTACTCTCAATATTCTTCTCCAGCACCACAGCTCAAAGGCATCAATTTTCCTTCTATCCTCCTTGGTCATTGTCCAACTCTCTGATGCATAACAAGTGATTGCAAAGACCATGGCCTGTATCAGACGCACCTTAGGTTCCAGAGAGACACCATTGTTCTTCAGAACTTAGGTGAGAACCCAACAGCAGACTTTCCCATGGCAATGCGCCTTTTCATTTCCTGGCTACTGGTGCCAAGAGTGCTGACTGTGGAGCCAAGCAAACTCAAGTTGGGAATAATCTCAATCCCTTCACCATCCATCCTGATGCTGCCAGTTGGTCCAGTTGTGAGAATCTTTGTCTTCTTGACATTGAGCCTCAATCCATATTGGAGGGTGCAGTCCTTGACCCTCTGCAACAGGTATTTCAGGTCCTTCTCAGTTTCAGCAAGCAGGGTTGTGTAATCTGCATAACACAGATTGTTGAACTTCATGGGTACTTAACATAAAACAACATTTGTTGGCAACATTTCTGTATGTTATATACTATTGATACCCTCGTATATTTGAAAGATACACATTTGAAATATTTGAAATCTGATTTCAAACTATGTTTCTAACTCTATTTCTTGCCTGACTTGTAACTCACTTTTGTAGTTTTCTTTACCATTTTGGTGGAAGATTTTTGTGGCACCTAATTAGATCTGTTTTATTATGGTTAGAAATAGACATATGATTAAATAATATTTTAAAAGTACCTTAAAAAAGAATCACTTGAGGGAGCTCTGCTGGTATAGTGGCAAGCAGCTGCACTGCAATGCCAGAGACATGCAGTTCAAATCCACTAAATGCTCTGTAGAAGAAGGAGGGGCAATCTCCTCCTGTACCACCAGTCAGATCTGATTTGATGGCGCGCGCACACACACACACACTTTAAAAAAAGGAATCGCTTTATACAAAATATATTTGAATAATTCTATAATATCTATAGACTGGTAACAGAGATTTCTTTTAATATTTATATTCATGTTTACTTTAATCACAGTTCTTTCCCATAGTTTTGGCAACATATCTCTTATATACTACCGATATCCAGGTTTACACTTGAAATATAAGTTCATCTTTTATTTTTTACTCTATTTTTAACTGAATTCTTTGTAGCTTGATTGATGCTGTAGTCTTTTTTTCTTTCTTTGAGTTAGGGAGCAGTATGTGTGTTAATTTCCCCCACCCTTCTAATAGCAAACCTATCTTAATAGCTTAGGATTACTTTGGTGACATTAACATTTTTAATAATAAAGTGAATGTCTAATTTCTTATAATGGATATATACTTATTTCCAATAGGGAAATGAGACAGCAAATGTGATTAATATAGCATAACAAAAGTATGTTCGTGTGTGTAGAGGGTTAGTCAGAATTATGCTTTGGACAAGATTTTAAGTGAAGGTGCAGATAGGAATTGTTGGACAGGAAGGGATCTGAAAAATAGATACTTAAAAAATTAATTATGCTTTCAGAAAAAAACTATGCCTTGGTAAGTTCCATGAAAAGGAGATGGAATGGATGCTACAAGAAGCAATAGGTACTGAAGGATGGTTAAGTAGGCATTTGACTACTTTTCCTAAATTTTGTAAAATAAAGAGGGAGAGAGTACTTGCCCTATAGCTCCTGTGGTCTTGCTGATGAGACAAGGCAACAAGAAGGTAAAGGAGAGGAGTCCTAAAGATTCGTCATAGTGGCTTGAATCTGGTAGGTATATGATGGAGAGAGTCCTTGAAAGTTTCTGATATCATTCTGCTCCCATCATCTGCTTACACACACAAAAAGGACCAAAATGGAGCTCTGGTGGCCTAGTGGTGAGAAGCTGGGCTGCAATCCTGAAGACGTGCGGTTCAAGTCCACTAGATGCTCTACTGGAGAAGGAGGGCAATCTCCTCCTGTGTCAGTCGGATCCAACTCCATGGTACACAAGAAGAAGAAGAAAGCGGGGGGCGGGGGGGGGCGGGGAAGGACTGAGCTTGTAAAGATCCAGCTGAGTGGGTAGCTAGATTTCAGAATCAATTCTGTAGCTATATAATATCAATTAGCAGAAGAGCTTTCCCCCCTACACAAAACTATTTTGAATCACTTTAGAGAAAAAGGGCTGCCTAAAATCTTTTGTCCACAATTAACAATGAATGGAAAATCACTGGGTTTGCTTTTGCAAACAACACTTAATGTCAGTATCTTCAGGCAGTTTTCCAATATTACAGTAAATTTTTGTGCTGATACCAATTTAGGAAGCTATTTAGTTCATGGGCTTATTTTTAAAAGAGTAGAAAAATAATGTGGTTAGACTAGGAAAATAAAATTAGCTTTCTGCAAGAGAATATTAGCAATGTACTAATGGACTCAATTTGATATAGTCAACCTGAAAGTGAAGGGGAGAGATCAAGTTGCTTATGGGGACATTTTAGATGAGGTTAAGAATAGCATCACTTTACAAATCAAAACAACTATGAGATATCATCTCACCCCAGCAACAATAGCAAAAGTTCAGCAGGACAGCAAGCAGCAAATGCTGGTGAGGTTGTAGAGAAATTAGAATTCTTATTCACTGTTGGTAAGAGTGTAAAAGGGTACAGCCACTATGGAAGGCAGTCTAACACTTTCTCAAAAAGTTAGAATCAATGTACAATTTGACCCAGCAATTCCACTACTGGGAATATATCCTAATGAAACTAGAGCCATGACTCAAACAGATGTATGCAAAACCATGGTTATTGCTGTGTTATTCACAATAGCAAAGCAGCAAATTAAATGCCCATCAACAAATGAGTAGAAAAACTATGGTATATTCTCACAATAAAATATTATCTTGCATTGAAAAACAGCTAACTCATAAAGCATTACACAACATGTGGGAGACAGGAGGACATTATACTGAGTGAAATATTTAAGTCACACAAGGACACTACTGTTATAAAATAGGACAGACAGGGTTGGGGTGGACAGAGAATGGGAAAAGAGTGGATAGATAAGGAACGCTGCATTAGATTTGATGACAGGAAGAAGTGTCTGAAAGGAATACATGATTAGGCGTTATACATATGACAACAATCTGGATCAAGGTGTGCATTGTTTGGTGGGCTGGGGAAGGGAAGGAAGAAAATGTGCAACAAAGAAATGTTTAAAAAATAAATTTTTTTAAAAAAGAATAGTATCACTTTATAATAATTGAAATATTTTAGGTTTTGCTTTTAGTGCATTGACTTATATCCATCTTTGTTCAGGCCTAAGAGAGAAAGCTTCTAGATTTGTATTTGATCTCAGGCTGTAGAGATGGAGATTTATTTTACCCCTGTCTTGGTCTTGTCTTCTGCCTCTTTGGTAATAAGGAGTCGTCCTGTGATTTCCACTGGCCTTCCAGTGGGAGGGCTTCCAAGGTCTGTGGTTTCTGGAAATGACATTTGAGGCATATTTAAGTGCTTTACAACGTTTCTGGGTTTATATGGGTTTGGATCCACATGGATTGGTGGTAGGTCTCTGTAAGGCACCAGCACGAAGATGACAGGAATCCTGGGGCCTGGGGTTAGGTTGGGTTGTAGTTGTCCCTTTGTCAGTTGGAAAGAGTATCTGGGGAAGACATTTTTTGAGGGGTGGTGCTCTAAGGCTGACTGAGCTTTTACATCTCGAGTCTCTTCTGTCTGGGAAAGAACATCAGTGAAATAAGGCTTCACTCCTGTGATAGCATTGATCTCATGTGCATTGTGCCTGTCAGCTCGTGCTCTTCCAGGTAAGATGGGCTGGAAAAGGGCTGCTCCTGAAACACCACTCACAAAGTTATTGAGGAGAAAATGCCACATTCCACCACTTATTGGACTCAAGATGACCCGGGGCCACAAGCTGGCCAAGCTCCGGAGAGCTTCCCGGTTCCACACTGAAACGGGAAAGTCAATCCCAGTATGATAGAACTGAGAAAAGTAAATGCTAAGAGTGATGTCTGGATACATCATCAGGAAATTATACATTTTGCTGATGCAGCAGTGGCTAGCTTCGTTACAAGGAGAATTGTTGGAATACAGAATGATATGCCTGATGCTGCTGTTGTTGTATAAGGCAGAGTCAAGATAACCTTTTGTCTCAAATAGCATTGATTCTGGGTGAATCTGGTTCCCAGTGCAATTGCTAGCATGCCCTTTTTGCACCAGGCTGCCAGAAGCAGTTTTTAGTTCATAAAATATGAGGTGCTTTGTTAGAGCATGGATTGGCCCATAAGGGAATCCAAAAGTGTGATAAAATTCCATGTAGGAAATTCTTGCTTCTTCACCTGTTCGAATATGGTATGGGCAATTAGGACAATCTAGATTGAAGGTAAGCCAGTAGTAAGGTTTCACTATTGTTCCACTGTTTGCCAGGTATTCTTCATATAAGGGCTCCATTTCCAGTTGTATTGTCTTCTAGTTGAAACCCTAAAAAAGGGGGAGAGACATTATATATAAAACCATGCAGAAAAAAATTAAAGACAATGCATTAATTTCTTGTTATATCATCCTTTAAAGGAAATAGCACAGTAACTACAGTAGCATTATAAAAATGTCAAATTATAAAAGAAAGTAGCAGCTATAGTTCAGGAAGTTGGGCATTTATTTTTTCTTTATTGAGGCTCTTGTACATAGGGAGTAAACAAAAGCAGAAGAATTTTACCACTTTTGTAAACTGCAGGACAATAGAACAAACATTAATAGTAGCGTTTAGAAGCAAATTGTAAATTTGAACTCTGCCACTTACTAGCTATGTGGGGCCTCAGACAAGTTAGGTTATTTAATGACTGAACGTCTCAGTTTGCTCATGCATAAAGTTAGGATAATAAGGGCACCTATTTCATAGGATGTTTTGAAGATTTAAAAGAGTGAATAATTAAGAAAAGATTCCTTATGTACTTCACATATAGTTAGGACCCAAGAAGCTCTTATTAGTAGTACTGCTCTGAATCCCCGGATGATCTAGATGCTTCCTGCTTATGGAGAATCCAACGAAATAAATGTGTGCTTTTTATTTTGTTCATAATGGGTTTTTTTTTATCCTTTCTCTAACTATGATGGTATCTAATAGGTATTGAGAGGTTGCGTGTGCTTTGATTTAAAATCAGCTGTTTCTCAGAATGTTGTTGTTGTTGTTGTTGTTATGTGCCGTCGAGTCGTTTCCAACTCATAGCGACCCTATGCACAACAGCCCTAAACCCTGCTCTATCCTGCGCCAACTGCACCACCTCTGACACACCCATCCCGATTACCCCAGTCACCGAGTCAATCCATCTCATAGAGGGTCTTCCCCTCCTGCGCTGTCCCTCCACCCTCCCAAGCATGATGTCCCTCTCCAAGGACCCGTCCCTCCTGGCAACATGTCCAAAGTATGTCAGACGAAGCCCCAGAATCCTTGCCTCCAAGGAGTAGCTTGGTTTAATCCTCTCCAAGATGAATCTGTTTGTTTTCCTGGCAGTCCATGGTACATTCAGTACCCTTCTCCAGCACCACAGCTCAAAAGCATCCACTCTCCTTCTGTCCTCCCTAGTCATTGTCCAACTCTCTGATGCATAATAAACGATTGCAAAGACCATGGCCTGTATCAGGCGCACCTTAGTCTCCAGAGAGACACTGTTGCTCCTGAGTACCTTTGAGAGGTCCCTAACAGCAGACTTTCCCATCGTGATACGCTTTTTGATTTCCTGACTGCTGGTACCAAGAGTGTTGACTGTGGAGCCGAGCAAACTGAAGCTGTGAACACTCTCAATCTCTTTGTCATCCATCCTGACGCTGCTAATTGGTCCAGTGGCGAGAATCTTTGTCTTCTTGACATTGAGACTTAGTCCATACTGAAGGCTGCAGTCCTTGACCCTTCGCAGCAAGTGCATGAGGTCCTCCTCAGTTTCAGCAAGCAGGGTTGTGTCATCTGCATAACGGAGATTGTTAATAGACCTTCCACCAATCCTGATGCCACAATTCTCCTCATAGAGCCCAGCCTCTCGGATAATCTGCTCTGCATACATGTTGAAAAGGTATGGAGACAGGATGCATCCCTGGCGTACACCCTTCTCAATTTTGAACCATGCAGTGTTACCCTGCTCTGTTCTGACTACTGCCTCTTGGTCCAAGTATAGGTTTCGTATTAGCACAATTAAATGTTCTGGGATTCCCATTCTTCTCAGAGTCAGCCACAGTTTGTTATGATCCACACAGTCAAATGCCTTTGCATAATCAATGAAACACAGATAGACATTCTTCTGGTATTCTCTGCTTTCAGCCAAGATCCATCTAACATTAGCAACAATATCCCTAGTAGCACGACCCCTTCTAAACCCAGCCTGGACTTCCCGGCAGTTCTCTGCTGATGTGCTGTTCTAATAGTTTTTGGATGATCTTCAGTAGAATCTTGCTTGCATGTGAAATCAATGACACTGTTCTGTAGTTTCCACACTCAGTTGGGTCACCTTTCTTTGGAATGGGAACAAATATAGATCTCTTCCAGTCAGTTGGCCAAGTGGTTGTTCTCCAGATTTCTTGGCACAACTTGGTGAGCCCATCCTGGCAGAAATCTAAAGGTGATTGATTATTCTTTTGGGAAGATGGTCATAGAATCTATTCTGCTTAGTGATACGAACTTCTTGGAGAGGTGTCACTCCACTATTCTTCGAGTAATGGATGCTCATTCATCGATCTTTGAGTGGGTGATATTATCAGGGTATTTTGAAAAATTATTGTTGCTTGAATGAAGATTTACAAAGCAAATTAGTTTTCCATTTAACAGTTCCGTTTTGCACGTTTTGTGACATTAGTGGTAATTTGTTCAATGTACCTTTCGCTCTTGCTTCCACAAATCCTTGCCCCCATTTGCCCTCCTTTCCTGCCCTTTTTAGTTTCCTGAGCTTTCATGTGGGTCAAACAATTTAACAGTTCCGTTTTGCACGTTTTGTGACATTAGTGGTAATTTGTTCAATGTACCTTTCGCTCTTGCTTCCACAAATCCTTGCCCCCATTTGCCCTCCTTTCCTGCCCTTTTTAGTTTCCTGAGCTTTCATGTGGGTCAAACAATGCCCATTCTGTTCTGTGTGGTTAATTATTCTGAGAAGTATTCTCCTCAGGGTGGTTAGTGCTTGTTACAGAAGCTGCAAAACTTTTGTTGGTAGTTGCCATGGAATTGACTCCAGCTCATGGTTACTTTCATGATTCCTTCCCGTGTTTCTACCATCTTAGACATCATGTAAATTGCATCATATTTTAGAGCTTTCTTTTTCTATTATATTGTGGAAACTTCCCAGGTTAATATTTAAAAAAAACCAAATAATACCCAACAATAAAAATAATCCATAATAAAACAATTTGTATTTTATTATGTAACATTCACATTCTGATTCTTTCTTCATCTTAGTTGTTATAATTAACACTTGGATGAACATTTTTGTAAATAAATCACTCCTCTGATTCTTTTCTTTAGTCAAGATGACTATAATTTGTGTTATTGGGCCAAACTTGATTAAGCTGTTTCCTGGAGAGGCACACCAATATCATTATATTTTCTCCTGCCATATTTTTTCTATTTGATGGTTTCATTTTTCACATTTAACATCTTAATCCACCAAATAGTAAATAAATACAATCATGAAAACATGAAAAGAGATAACCAAAATTTAGTAATATTGTGATATTGTGTCGCAAAGAATGTTTTTCACTTTTCTAAATGTAATTTACCATTTCATAAGTGTTTATTGTCACCTTTCACATGGAAGCAGGATCCCTGGTCACATGGTGGTTAAGTTCTATGCTGTTAAGCAACTGAAAGGTCAGCGGTTTGAATCTGTCAGCCACTCTATTGGAGAAAAGTGTGGCCTTCTGCCTCTGTAAAGCTCTGCAGAATTGGAGACTCTGTGGGACTCTGATGTCTTAAATGGCAAAAGGTGTTTTATTTGATTGTTGTTTCATGTGGAAGCACTTTTATGAACTTCTGACTTCCTCAAAAGCTAATTACTAGTGTATTTGATATAGCCTGATATCTAAGCTGGGGCAGTTCCCCTACGCTATATTATACAGTCCTGAGCAGAAAATATTTTACATATACCCAAAGTATATTGTTGTTGTGTACTGTCAAGTCAGAACTGACCCATAGCTGACCCTTCAGTGGGTTTTCAGAGGCAAATAGTTGCACAGGAGGAGATTGCACATCTTTGTCCCACAGAACAGCTGGTGGAGTCGTACCACATGCCTTTGGAACTGCAGCACAGATTCTTAACCACTAGGCCACCAGACCTCCTTGAATATAACTTTCTTCACGTCACCATTATTCAGTGGCCTTTGCATTTGTGGTAACTCTGGGCATCACAACCTCATCCAATTTCAACTTTCTTCTAATCGCTACCATATCATTGGGGTTTTGTTTCTATTTTCCCCTGAGGCAAATGTATCATGATGCAAATAATTTCTTGCCCTTAATCTTCCTAGTTCTTTTATAGCTTTTTCCTCGGGGAATTGGTCCTTTCCTGGGGAATAGTACCAGAATCACTTCCTTGGGAAACAAAAGTTTCCATCTTTCATGATAAAGATACTAAGATGAAACTTTTGATTGGTTCTCTTCAATATCCTTTTTTTAATTGAAATTTTAATGAAAGTTATAAAGAACTTGGGTTTCCAGTCGTTCATTGTTGCACATTTTTCCCTGCCTCCCCTCCCCCACCAGATCACTTTTTTCTTTGGGGAAAAAAATTCTTTCATTGTTATACAGTCCGCCCCTCCCCCAGACCACTTTACTGTGCAGCTCTTATTCTGAACTCTTGTCATGCCAATAATATATTCCTTTTATACAGTTCTCTTCCTCATCTGTTTCAATGCCATGAACATTATTAATCTCTTTTCTTAGCTTCCCTCCAGCCCCCATGTAGGACTAAAACCAAGGACTATAAACTTCATTAGAGAAAAGCTAGAAAGAACCCTAAAAGCCCTAATCCACAACATAAATAGTCTTCCAAGCATTCTGAAAAACCTACAACTAGGAGAGGATAAAATAGATGAATGGGACTTGCTTTTTTTAAAATCCCTATGCACATCCAAAAACTTCTCCAACAGGATAAAAAGGGAAGCCACAGACTCGATATCCCTTTCTTTGCATCCTCGCTTCCATGGTTCTTTTACTTGAGAATGGTGAACAATTACTGTATTTAAGGAGATCGTGGAGACCAGTGGTCTTGATACATGTTTTAGATTGAATTGCGTCTTTCCCAAATACACACCTGGAATGATACAGTATGGAAACCATGTAATAATTTTTATTTTTTTCTTGTTCTGTATCAATGAGTCAGGTCCACTGGCACAGGAGGATATTACCCCTCCTCCAGTGGAGCATCTGGTGGATTTGAACCATTCACCTTCAGGATTACAGTGCAGCTTCTTGC